AGTGAAAGCTGTCTACTTAAATACTGTTCTGTTATCATGCTATAAATAAGTGTTCACAAAAGATATTGTCTGCTGTAGAGCTGTTCCCCCCTGCCGTTGCCAGGCTTCCACGAAAGCTGTTGTCTTTGCTGCGGAGCTGTGGTTGTGTACTGCAATTTGAGGACAAAATGAGCATTGTCTCTCCCTTCACAGCACATAGCAGTGCGGTGCTGTGTGGCAGAGGAGCGACCATTTTGGGTTGCTGAGCTAAGCGTTCCCACAGTCATAGGCACTGGCCTAAGCACCCTGACTAAGCAAAGATAGGGGTCACTTCTGAGGAAAAGGAAAAGAAAATAGAGGAAAAATAGGAAAAATCGTAACAAGAGTATGCTGCAGTCAATTCCAACTGTATGCTATTGTCCTGGAGGTATTCTTTTACCTCTTCATTGATATATTCCTTTCCATTGTCAATCCTCATAAACTTCAGATCCTTCCCTTTGTGGACTTTGATGTATTTTTGATACTGCTGGATCTTCTTTCAAATTTCCATACCTTGCTTTGACTTCAAAAAATACAACATTGTCCTCTGGGATTTTCCATCTGTGAAGCTTATGTAATATCTTTTACCATGGATACCCTGAGTTCAGGCTGGCCCCCATAGATCTGAAAATATCATTTTCTCTATTTTAGTATAGTCTCTTTCAGCTTCCTGTGGAAATGGCTTGGTATGATGTTTGGCTTTTATGCAAGCTATGCAATCTGTCTGAGGCTCAGCTGACTCATCTATATCCATCCCCTTGACCATTTTCTTCCTAAATAGTCTTTTTACTGATCCCATATTTAAGTGGTCTAATGTTTTGTGCCACTTTTGCCATGATCAGGCTGATTTCATAGCATGGGCCTGGGTTATTTCTGGAACAATGATGTCAAGGCTGTACAGCTTTGATATTTTATCTCCATGGCTGATTATCTTGCCATGTGGTGAGATAATATCCATTCTGGACTCTTTGAATTTGAGTTCAAATCCAGCATCTGTAATGTGCCCTATTGACATAAGATTGAATGGTGCATCAGAGCAGTGGATACACTCCTTTAGTGTGACTAGAGTGATCTTTTCTCCTTCAACCATTTTAATCTTGACAGTTTCTCTTCCCAAGCCTTTAGATTTGCCTACACCAATGACTTTATGTCCTGAGGTTTCAACATAGTCAGAAAAATATAATCTATTTTTGACTATATGTCTGGTGGTGCCAGAGTCCCCTAGCCATGATACTCCTGAGAGTGAGGTAAGTGTGACGTCTGTTGCACAAAATACATAGTCATCTTCTTCTGAGTCCGATTTGGCAACATGTGCCTGAGTCTGGCCCTTTCCCTTTCCTTTCCATGACTTTCCAGAATTCTTTTTCTCATTTGGGCAATTTATTCTGATATGATCGGTTTCCCCACATCTGTAACATATGACTTTTGAATTGGACTTCTTGTCATATGCTGCAAGTGTCATAGTCCGATCAGAAGTCTTTTCCTTTAGTCGGATATCCTCCTGAAGAATTTGAAAAATCAACTTGTAAGAATCTTTCAAGTCAGCAGTATCCACTGATGAGATGAATGAATTCCATGATTCTGAGAGTGATATAAGCAGTGTGATAGAGAAGTCCTCCTCGACTTTCTGCTTAAGGGATGCCAGCTCCTCCTGATAGGACCTCAAAGTTCTAATGTGCTTCTCTATGTTTCCTCCTTCTTCGCACTAAGCTCTGAAGAATTTTCTTCTGACAAGGACAATTCCCATGGATCCCCTAGACTCATACATATCTTCCAGAGCTTTCCAGGCTTCTGCTGAAGTCTTTGAACCAGCAATATATACCAGCAGGCCATCAGAAATCCACAATCTTATTGTTGAAAGAGCCTTCCTATTGCTCTTCTTCCAATCTGCCACCAGTGTCATGTCTGCTGGAGCCAGAATGCTTCTATCTGCATAATCAATTAGTCCTAAATCAGTTAGAATATTGATCATCTTGATTTTCCATGTCAGATAATTTTCCAGGCCCTTAAGAGGGTCAATTCTATACATGGACTGGCTATCCATGTGGTTCTTTGTGTGTATGTAAAGTACAAAAGTGTGCAAAGTGAGTAGCGATGTAAGTTCAGTTATGGCCAAGGCCCATAACCTGTTGTAAGTAGAGAGCAGAGTAATGTACAAAGAACTAGAATTAGCCTCTCGAGAGAGAAACGTTCTACTTAAATATATTTTGTATTACTTTGAGATCTTTCTACAAGATACTAAATAAGTCTGAATCATGATCCAAGTCAGCTGCCACTGACTGGCATCGTATCTTTGAGTACGTTCTCGTACTCGCTCAGGATTGCTATCTCAACATCGACATTCACTTCCACTTCATTTGCTGAGTCATCAGTGAAGGCTCCCTTCATCTTGTTTACTGTCCCACTGAGGACATGGTTGCTGATGCTCTCACCAAGCCTTTACCTTCAGCCAAGGTGAAGCACTTTGCTACTGAGCTTGGACTTCACTCTGCTTGAGGGGGAGTGTTAGATTAGCAAGCAGGAGCTCCATCATATCCTGCCAGCCAAGCTTGATACCCCTTTATGTCAGGATGGACTATATATATTGAATACGGTCTGTCGAGCACCCTCACCACATTTCTGCTTATTGCTATGCTGTGTGAGGGTGAGTATCTACTTATATTACTTCATTTATGTCACTGATTGGTATTCTGTAGTCTATGTTATAGCTAACAGCATACTCTATTAGGTACAGTGAATACAACACCACATTTCTGCTTATTGCTACACTGTGTGAGGTCTACATTATAGCTAACAGCATACTCTATTAGGTGCTACAAACACGCATCACTTTCTTAGACCAGCTTGGATAATTCAACATAAAGTATGCAAAACTTATATTTTACATCATCTAATGAAAAGGTAACTTCTTGATATCATGCAGACAATGGCCCAGGGACTCTTGTGAAATTTGGGATTTCGAACTGAAGACAAGAATAGCTAGCTGCCTTACATAATCTACACGACGCGCTGTTTGGCAAATTCATTGATTGTAAACTCCCGGAAATGAAAACACCACATTGGCACCGAAAACAGTGAGTACATTTGCTGCTAATCATGAAGACTAATCAACGATACATATAGAATGATTTGGCCTCTATCATATTTTCCGCCAGTACCAATTCTAAAGCCAGCATCTTCCTCCGAACTTATTCTACTTTCGCGTCTTTTCTGCCATTAGCATTCAAGCTGATACTGGCTAAGAGAAGCTACTGTGGATTACGGATCCTAGCGCCTGTTCAACAAATGCTAGATTTGTTTCGGGATTTATTCGAGATGTACTGTTTTCGCAGTGGCAGACATCGTCACGTCCATTTTTATCGCCTCGAAGATATGAAATGTTCGGACATGGCCTGGCTCGTATCTTGAGTACTCCGGCAGAGCTGCTGGACCTGCTAGGGGAAGAGTCGTAAAACTTGGCAATAGCACGATGCTTGGAGGACCTGTCTCTACTACTGACACTGAATCTGATGTGTCATCAATCGAAAATGATTGATGGTGCCGATGCTCGCTGCGGGATATGTTATGAGGTAAGAGCAGAGACAGACTCAGCTCCCTGTTGATAGTCTGGGATGTCACTCCAGCTCTCCGAAGAAATATATGCAACAGAGAAAACTGAGTCGAGCGTACTTGCGGTATCCGAATTCTCGGGAACGCAAGAGACATGGCGCGGGTTGAAGCATTCATGCAGAAAACCTTCACTGTAATCCCACAAGGCTTCTTCTACCTCTTCTCCTGCGAAATCCATCAGCGTATCCTTGAGTGATAGCACCAATCTTGGGTGCTTCAGTGCATGGACTTCAATCTCCGTCCAGGGGACTGGAATGAAGGTAAAAGGCACAAGCCTGGGTGAATGCATCAGTTGGTGAATCTCATCGGTGAATCCTAATTGGGGCGGAACGAACATGAGATGCATCGTCCGAAGTTCTCTTGCATGCCCAAATTACTTTGTGCTATACCAGCAACAAACTGGCTGGGGGAGAGGTGGGCTTCGGACAAGACGGGTACTTTGACTCAGAACAAAATGACTGTGGTTAATGTCGCTATCGGAGATGAGCTTTTGACGGTCTCAGAAGCAAGAACGGCTGCAGCTGAAGATGACACTCTCGGGTAGTGTATCAAGCTTTTGACTGCAACCGCGGGCTTTGTAACGACGCACATTTCGACAAGCCAGATGGGGACTTACCTGTGGAGCTTCGGAAGGTTCACGGAGATGCTACGGGTATACGTCTCTAAATATGACGTCGATCTTTCCACTGATGCGAAGCGCGTAGACACCGGTCTACTTCGGTTTTCAGAGAGCTTCGATCCTGTTGAAAGCAGCCGAGCAGCATGGATAGAGTGTGCGAAGCTTGCCTTCAATTCTAGTATGTGCCTGTCGCTGCTAGGCATGTCCAGCTTTCTAATGATATAATAGAGAATAAGTTTGCCATACAAGTGCCTCCCCAAGAGAAACCGACTACCTCTGATGGCTTTGATGTGTCATCGGAGTAAGTTCTATTGGTCAAAGGAGTAAGCTTAAGTCTTGTCCCGTCATCACTGTCTAAAATGCGATAGGCTCCTGAGGTAGTATCACGCCGGTGTAGCCACATAATGGATTCGAAGGCATCGATTGTGTCACTGGATGGGACCATCGTAGACCGTTTTTCGGCGATACAAGAACAATTCGCATCAAGTGGCCAACGCGTTCTACTCATGGCCAAGAAGGTCATCCGCGGCGACGAACTTCCAACAGACTTTTTCGTCAAATCTGGTTCTTTTCCAATGGAAGACCGTATGCTTGGTCTCAACTTCGACTTGACAGTAGTTGGCTTGGTGGCTTTGATAGACCCACCGAAAGGCGATGTTAAGCGCACCGTTTCCACGGCGCGTCGAGCAGGAATTCGGTTTGCAATGGTTACAGGTCTGTTTTCGTGTCCTAGACGTTCCCTATTACTGAAACCAACCTTGAAGGCGATTTCTCCTCTACTGCTGCCGCCATCGCTCAGCAGGTGGGAATCATCACGACGCCAATGAGCGAAGTGAAGTATGTTAAAGACCTTCCGCCTGACGCCTCTTTAGAGTCGGTGGCTGGGTACGAGCCCGATATTGAGAGTCGCTTGGTCCCGGATATGCGAAGTCTTGTCCTAAGCGGTTCTGACCTTATCGGCATGATTGAGTCGCAATGGAAACAGGCACTCGCCTTTGACGAGATCGTTTTCGCCCGAACAACTCCTCAGCAGAAACTGCAAATCGTGAAGAAATTGCAAGCGGGGGGATGTACTGTTGCGGTGACAGGCGATGGAGGTAATGCTTATCGACTTTTTGACTTGTGGTATTTTTTTTTCCTGACGTCCTTTTTTCTTACTTAGTGAATGATTCCCCGGCATTAAAGCAAGCCGACGTTGGAGTGGCGATCGCTGGAGGTTCCGAAGTCGCCATGGAGGCCGCGGACTTGATTCTGCTCTCAGACTTTTCTGCTATCATCACGGGAATCCAGTATGGACGCTTGTGCTTTGAGAACCTTCGAAAGTCAATATTGTATCTCTTGCCTGCTGGTACGTTATCCCTATACTAATTCTATTCTCTGACTGGTTGATTGTAACTTTACAACCAGGCAGTTTCTCTGAGCTCATGCCTATCGTTCTCAATATACTCACCGGGGTGCCTCAAGCACTGAGCAATTTCCAGATGATCATCATCTGTATTTTCACGGATGTTTCTCCTGCATTGTCAATGGTGAAAGAGAAGCCCGAAGCAGATCTATTATTACGCCGTCCTCGTGATCGCCGAAAGGACCGTTTGGTCAACTGGAGACTCTTGCTGCATGCGTATTTCTTTCTGGGCTTGATAGAAACAGCAACATCCATGGTTGGGTGAGCCATTCGCTATCCATCCTCTGGCTTTTCATTGAATCAGATATTAAAACCAGAGCGTTCTATTTCGGATTTCAGCGCCATGGCGTCCCATTCTCTGCCCTGTGGCTCAAATACGGAAATTATGACGTAAACCCCGCGCGGATTCAGGAGCTTACGAACAGGGCACAGTCTATCTGTTAAGGAGTTTTGTGTTTCTTGTTATCGACGCCCACTGACGGTAGTTTGTAGATTTCTTCAATTTGGTCATAATGCAGTGGTTCAATCTACTTGCGACACGTACCAGAAGACTGTCGTTGTTTCAACAAAATCCTTTTGGTTCCAAAACGCGCAATCTTTTCATTTTCCCTGCTATGGCTGCTGCACTCGTTATTGCCTGGTCAGTTTCTCCACAGTATTTTCTTTTAGTTTCATACTAATTAATCCGAGCAGCTTCTTCTCTTACATCCCTTGGTTCCAAAGGGTTCTTTCGACGCGAGGAGTCAGTGTTGAGTTCTTCTTCCTGCCAATTGCGTAAGTTTATCTTCTGCCGAAACTGTGCAATATGACGTTCAATTTTCTTGCTTTAGATATGGTATCGGAATGCTTTTCCTTGACGAAGCACGCAAATGGTGGAACAGGATGCGCCTGTCATCGTTCCTTGCGCGAATCGCATGGTAATTATCATGATGTCGACTATCGTTATTAGCGATATTACTATAGAGCGTTTTTTCCGGCTTTCTGCCGTAGTTCACATAGAATGTATGTGACAGTTACTTTAGATTTCTGTGGTAGAGATCTATATAGCAGTAGAAATTATTTGTTCGTTCTAGAGAACGCTCACTAGCACTGTTACAATATCGTTTGCAGTACTAATGTCATGCGATGAAGGACACCCCTATTCAGGACACGTATAACATTAGGTAATACAATAATAATAGCATCGAACCTTATCATCGTATTCTTCAAAAATTGGAACTAGTTTTGACGGGGGACGACATCTAACTCATGAGTTGAGTGCTCGCGACTATGTCCTTTGCGACCTTTTTACGTTTTTGTACTAGTAGTATTGTGTCAGATCCCTTATACTACCCAATATGAACAGCGTTTTGGGCCCCCACTCAACAATAGGACCGACGAGACCCGGAGTAGGTCGTGTGAATGGCCCGAGTCCAAAACGTAAAAAAACCCGAATAAGATTTCTTCTCCATTCCCGGTTCAAGCGACGGGGATTAAGTCCATCAAGGGCACAATAGTTATATCCCAATATCGTGTTGATGAAGTCAGCGCTTGCGTTGTTCATGCCGAATAGCCCGTCGTCTAAATGTCCCGAAATACTTCACCGATTTGCCCGCTGCATCGATTAAATACAAAGCAAGATCCGTTCGTCGACACCAGAAATGCGCCGTATAGCTAGCTTATTGTTGGCGTTTTGGGCCAAGACAATAGGATCCAACCACGCAGTGTCCAGGTATAAAATGCCTGGATAGACTGTCTCACAGTCTTCACCCAATTTTTGTTGCACTGGTTTGCACTCCTAGTTATCGTCAACAAACATCCTCATCCTCATGGACAACTTTGCCGAATTGATCTTCGGACTTGCGCCAGTTCAAAACGAAGCAGCCGAGGGATGGACAATGGACGGCGGATGCGTCGTGTCCTAATAGCTTTTCTCCTCTGCTTCTAAGTGAGTACTCGTTTTACTCGTGCTCAACGGAGCGATGGGCTTACCTAGTCATTGTCAGTGCTTAACCATTATTTAAGTTGTGAGAGGAGACTTGGAGATCGGAGCTGTAATAGCTATAGTTCACAGACAGTAATCTGGCCGCTCGACGTACCTTTATATTTTTTCTTTTTTGTCTTGGACTCGGATATCGCATACTCCACCGTACAGTCAAACATTTGGACTGTAGAACACTTTTTAAATAAGAATAAGAATGATATGTACATGTAATGGAGGTATACCAGGTTTGCCGCCTTGGCCCGTACTTTTCCGGCGGTACCAGCATGAACCGAACCCTTTACGACGAAGGGAGACCAGGGTGTACGACTAAGAAAGTCATTTAAAACTGACAGATGGAAGAAAAATCATCCTTATGCGGCGAATCGGCGTGTTTTGTGTTCAATGCGAATCATCTGAAAATATAATATCGACGCTATGTCGTGGCCGTGGATGAAGGTCTTGAAGTAGGAAAGCTTGGATTCATGGGCTTGCGTCCGGCAAGCCCCAGTGTGCCGTGCTGTGTAATGACAATGATGATGATAAGGATGAGGATCTCGCAGCACCAGAAGACGCAGCAATTGAAAATTGGCAGCCGCTAGTAAAGCATGAGTGCGAGTTTCTCGGTACGTAAGCTCTGATCCTCTTTAGTGCCCGTGCCCAGGCACAAGCCGTGATACGACGTGGAGTGGACATTGCTTAGGAAGCTACAAATTTCTCCTTGGCACTTTGAGCCGTAATAACTTCGAAAAAAGACAGTTACTCAGCGGACGACCGGTGAGCCTTCGAAGGTAGGTACCTGACTTCATGTTTTTTGGGAAGTGTGAGCTCTCACCTCCCAATTTAAATGAATGCCACATGCGTCTTCGCTACAAGACATCCAGCCCCTAATTGATCATCGCTTCCACTCCGTACATAGCGTCGCTCCTTGATTTCGTGTCTACGAGCACAAATGTCCGGATACATCTCAAAAGGCGCGTACCATCGCGCCCGAATCATCCTCACCACTTTAACATAGAACCCTTATTTGAAATGACCTGAGGTGAGATGCTCCAGGTTTGGTGCCAGTAAAGTTCCAGCACATTGCACTGTCATTTGAGTCAAACAAGAGACTGACTGTACAATGTTCAATTGTCAGATGTTTGACTGTGGTGGACAGACTGCCCAGAAGTTAGGTAAAGTTTGCTAAACACTGAAAGCCAACCAATGAGTATTTACATCTATGCACATTTGAGATATCACTTTCCAAGCATCCATGTGTCAATTGGAAATGCAGAACTGACCTTTTGTTTTTGTTTTTCAAGTTTGTAGCTTGTAAGCCACATCTATATGTCAATAGCCGCGACCTAAGGCAGCTTCCTTAGGTAATGCATCACAATGCATTTGATCACATGCTAATTCTGGCTTCTTCTATCCTTCATGTCACTTGTGTCCCAAGGTGGTATCCCTGCAGAGATTGTGGATATGATTATCAACAATATTTATCATTTTTATTAGCCTGATGACAGCAATGATGGTGATCTTGCAGAGCTCAAATATCAATGCCACTCCACTTCAACATCATGTTCTTTGGTTTGTGTGACATAGCTGCTGTGCAGTCAATACCATCTTTTCTGAATTATGACTGTATCCTTTGCTAATCATGCAACCTTTATGCATCTTATCACCAGTCCACACTGCTCTTTCCTTTGCTTCATTCATACCTTAATTCTTGAGGATCTTAAAGGACTGAACAATGACAATAGTGACTCTAACATATCCATCTTTATCTGCAATTTAGCGAACCTTTTGCATCTCAAGACTCCTTTGACTGCCATGCCCTTCATATTTCCCAACATCAAGAGGCTGCATATAACCAAAGCCCCATTCTCTCTCATTTTGGAGGAGAACTTTGACACTTTTCTCCTTTTTCTATCCAGTCTCATCAGCATCACACACTTAGCTCTGAAATCATGCATTTTCCATACCCTGGACCATGTAATCTGCATCCTGTCATCATGCAGAATCTTGGAGTCTGTGCATTTCAAATATAACCTGTGTGTGGAAAGTCTGCCTCCAGAAAAAACAACTCCATCCTATCTCTCTGGACTCTCTGCTTCTTTATCATCTTTGCTATTTATTGTTGGCTATAAACATAGCTTCATTCTACAAATCATTTCTATCACTGGTCCATCACTGAAACATTTGAGTATGTCTTTGACTCCTCTCAATATACTGTCCAATCATATGTGTCATAATGATCTGGATTAAATTGCACTGATATTCATCATTTCCTTTGACTAGGTGCAGATGCACTCTCTTGCAATGGAAACCTTGAGTACAACACAAATCTTGAATCTATCATATTCCAATTTGTTCCTATAAACAATGCCTTTAATAACATGAGGAACTGCACTCAACACATCCCTGAAATGCTTCAAAAAATCATGTCTTCCTCCATCAATGAAATAATCTTGACAGTCTGGATGCCATTCATGGTTGACTTCGATGACCTTGATTGAAAGTCCATCACTAAAGTTCTGAGTCAGGAGAACTACAGGAATCTCAGGAAGTTCTTGGTTCTACATGTGAGAGCATATATGGAGGATGAGTCAAAGGAACAGATTGCTCAAAAGTTGAAGATGCTGACTATTGACAGAAGAATATATGTGAGTATCTCAGTCGGGCACAACATGGGTGAAGCAACTGAGACATACAGATAGGAACAGCTGGACTATATAGGTGATCAGGAAATGACAGGAGATGTAAGTATATATAAGGCAAATAGAGTGAGTGATCAAAAGTAAGATAAGATGAAACGTATGGATATCCTCCAACACTCTCCCATATCTGTTCAATCTACTGGGATAACGTTGAGCATCTTGAGGTAACCATTGTGCATATCATGAGGCAAGGGCTTGGTGAACATATCTGCAGGGTTTGTGTTCCCTCGAACAAACTCGACACGTAATTCACCATCCTTCATGAGCTCCCTAATGAAATACTTTCGAATACAGATATGCTTGACTTTCTGATGGGACTGTGTATTTGTCGTTAATGCTACAGCACCCTGGTTGTCACCATACAATACACCAGGGTGAGGCTGAAGTAGTTGGACCTCAGCCATCCAAGACAATATCCACATCATCTGTTGTGCTGCACGAGTAAAGGAAATGTATTCAGCCTTGACAGTGGACAGGACGACGGTAGCCTAATGCTTTGAGCTCCAGCAAATTGGACCACCCGCCATGGTGAAGACATAGCTGGACGTCAAATGAGTCATATCCCTACAACCTCCATAGTCTGCATCTACAAATCCAACAGGTGTTAACGGCTGCTCACACAAAAAGGAGATACCAAGGTCTATTGTCTCCTTTATGTACCCAAGGACATGTATTAATGCTTTTCAGTGCTCTATTCCTGGGTTAGACTGGAAGCAAGTGAGCAGGCTCACAGGAAAGCATAAGTTGGGACGAGTTGCAAGCTGTCCCCACATAACATGGCCTAGCAGTCATCAGTATGAGAATCTTTTCATAGCGTCCTTCTCTGCTTGGGTATTCGGAGACTGTGATATGTCGAGTACGATTCCAACAGGTAGGGGGGTGGTCCGTGATCATACATATCCAAGGTTGAAGTCTAAAAATACATTCTCCTAATATAGATACTGCAAGAAGGTGATGGTGCCAGCCTCAAGATCTTGTTCAATCTTTATCCCCAGAAAGTAACAGTTCTCCCCCATATTGGTGAGCTCCTATTTCTCCTCTAATTTCTTCTTTCATCGGCTCGCCTCCTCTGTAGTCGACAATGCTTCTCACACATCATCAGTGTAAGTATCTGTGATGGTATACTCATCTCTAGACTTGCCAATGGTGTGTACACATGGGTCTGCCTTTGATACATGGTATCCAAAGTCTTCATAGGTTTTTCCAAGCATCTCAAACCAATCATGGCCACCCTGTATAGTCCCATAAATAGTATAGACAAGTTTGCACACCTTATCCTCTTGTCCTTCGACTACGTACCCTGAGGGCTGACACATATAGATGTCTTCTTTTGTCTCACTATTCAAGTATGTTGAAATGAAGTCCACTTGCTATAGGACAAGATCGAGCTTTGCTGCAACAGCAGCTGACATCCATACAGATTCAAGATGGATCACCACAGCCCAAGTGTCGTTATAGTCAAGTCTATACTGTTGAGTATAGCCCTTCCCAACAAGCCTCACCTTGTCTCTGATCCAGTTACCATCGCTATCCTATTTCATACTATAGACTCATTTACAATCCATCACGTTTACACCTACTGATCTGTCGACTAGGTCTCATGTATGCTTTGTCATATGCATTTGGTATTCCACATCCATAGCTGCCTTCCATCGCTCTTCATCAACACGCAGTGCATCTTGATGATTTTATGGGATGTATAGGTTAGGTGGATTACCAGAAGCCATTGAAGCATATGGCTGTTTGCTGTTGGTTGTCCAGTTATTTCTGCTTGCATGGGCCTCAGCTTCTCGTTGCTTTGACATCAGAGATTCGGCAGCATCAGCACTGGGACACATTAAGTGTGTTGATCAGCAAAGAGTTGGTTCTGTGGGAGCATCTGGCATTTGCTCAGTTGACTCAGTTGGCTCAGTTAGCATAGGCATCTCGATATGAGTAGAAGTGGTGAGTGCAGGTTCATCCTCCATCTCTCCTACACTCACACTTTGGTGTGCTGGTCCTTCATCAAAGATGACATCACGAGACATGAACACATGTCCTGATTGATCAAGTACATGGTAATTGGACCCTGAGTATCCCAGAAAGGTGCATTTCTTTAATCGATCATCGAGTTTGCTTCTGTCATCTACCAAAACCCCACCAGCTATAGGTTTCTTTGCCCAGCAAGTGGATCTGAACACTTGTAAAAATCCCATATTCTGTCGTCGCTTCGAGAAACCCTCTGCTAGTACCACTCCAGGATGGCGACTCAAAAGAACAAGGTTTCGCGTGAAGATTAACATAGAGGCAGCCTCAGCCCAGTAGTGGTCAGCGAGGTCAGAGTCACTTAGTAGAGCTCTTGTATCCTCCATAGTGGTGCATAGGGCATGTTCAGCTAATCTATTCTGGGCTGATGAGTGGAGTGCAGTTAATTCCAGGATGATCCCATGCTTCTTGCAATATTGTTTCCACTTTACTCCTGCAAAAGCATGATCAGCACATATACACTTAAGCTTTCGGCCAGTCTGGGTCTCAGCCATATGCCTATATCTGTCAAAAGCAGCCATGGTAGTGTCATCTGCTTTGTCTGCCAGGAATTCCTCCACCTTGAACAATGTACCACTATTGACGAATATCATCATATAAGTCTTTCCACTCAGTGATGTCATTCGAGACGGTTCCCACATATCTGTTGCAACAAGCTCCAGTGGGTCGACATTGGGATTGGTGGGCTCATCGAAGGGATGACAAGCATGTCTTGCTAGAATACAGTCCTCACAGCATTCTTGGATAGACTCTGAGGTAATTTCCAAGCCATCCACCAGCCTTTTTGATGTCATCTCCTTGATTTTTGCAGGGCTCATATGGACAAAACGATGGTGCCAAGTACTCAGCAAAGTGGGAGATGAGCGGGATGCCATAGCTTGGAGGCTAGGTGCAACATTCAGCACATACATGCCATCTGAGTCTCACCCAGCAAAGATCTCTTTACCAGACTTATTCTAGACAATTGCACAGCCATCAGAGAATACAGTTGACAACCCAGCCTTGTCTAAAGTGCTTATGGAGATGAGATTTGTGGTGAGTGAAGGTGAATGCAAGGCATTTTTGAAGGTGAGCTTAATATCTCTTCTATTCAGTCTGAAGACCTTTGTTGCTGTACTCTGGCCTAGGATCTCGAATGTTCCCTTTCCCTCAACTGCAGATGAGCCAGTATGGAAAGCTACTGGCGTGTACTCTGTGAAGTCATTATGATTCCTGAAGAAGTAATCACTCGTGCCAGAATCTATGAAGGTTAGAGTGATGGCTGGGGTACGGCCTTTGAACGTAGTCATGACAAAGGCTGTTGTAGCAGGGTCAGCCTCATATGTAAAGTGTCCTACATTCTCAATGTTAGCCTTGCTAGTGTCTATACTCTTGACAGAAGATATCTCATCATCTCCAGCAACATCTTCATCATCAGAGTCATCAATGTCAGTGAGAGAAGGCATTTCGAGGTCTGTCTCTTCTTCAACCTTTGACATCAATATAGTGCTGCTCTCTGTTTCATCCCAGTGCCAGAAGGAATGGGTACCATTCCACTTGTATATCCTTTCGCCAGTGCTGCCATCCTCAATTACAATGCTGTCATCATCATGATCAGCTTCCACTGTAGTAGCATGCACAGCAAGTACAAAATACCTTGTAGTATCGGCCATGGTGTTTGAGATTGCCTGGTTTGCACAGCGAGATCAGCCGAAGTTGGCAGGGAATTGTCTCTCCTTTCTCCCTCCTGGCCAATAACAATTCTTGGTGGTGTGCCTAATCTTATCACAGGCCTTGCAATCTGGATTGTGACATCCACGTACCACGACAGAGGTTCCGACTCCAGCTGTAAGTGCTTGGGAGTTGGCAGGACCTTTATCCACTGTATGAAGCATGGCGGCATGGGTTTGGAGATGGGAAAACACATCAGAGGACATTGGCATGTCATATAAACTTGGGAGGATAGGCATCCAGTGATCAGTCAGGATTATCAAGTGAATAATTATTCTCTTGAACTCCTGATCACTCAATGCTGTGGTTTGAAGGTCATTCACAGCTCGTCATTTCATGCGCAGGTTGGCGATGTGGATATTGATATCACTGTTTCCATCAAACTTCACCACATTCAGCAATGCCTCAGCCTCAGAAAGAGCCATATCCATTTTCTTTGCATGTTCCACAGCAACAGAGTCCCAGCATTCCTTTGCCATTTCATCAGTCTTGACCCCTAGACTAATGGAGTCGAGAATGTTGAGAACAATGTTCGAGTGGGTGAGCTGATCATAAAAGACCCACTTGTCATACGAGGAAGAGGATGAGTATATGGGAGTAGAGTCTGGTGGGAGGGGTGTGGTAGTAGCCATGGCTGTGGTAGTGGTGGTGGGGATGGCAGGACAGACAGTAGTTCCTGCAATGTATCCCCATAGGCCTTTTCTCTTCAGTAACTCAGTAAGTTGGAGTTTTCATGAGGCATAGTTCTTCCTGTTGAAATGGCTACTCATGTCAGGGAGGATAGTGACTCCCGACATCAACAATATCGTTTAGGGGTGTGGTGTAAAGTGGTGAGAGTAGTGGTATGGTATAAATTCAAGCAGTAAGTTGAGTCGAAATTCCATTGCATATTCTTCTTGACTGAGTAGTTATAGGCAACAGGGCCTCATAACCTATTGACAGAAGAATATATGTGAGTATCTCAGTCAGGCACAACATGAGTGAAGCAACTGAGGCATACAGATAGGAACGGCTGGACTATATAGGTGATTGGGAAATGACAGGAGGTGTAAGTATATATAAGGCAAATAGAGTGAGTGATCAAAAGTAAGATAAGATGAAACGTATGGATATCCTCCAACACTGACAGACAAGAATCCATCAATCAAGATTGTGGTCCGCAATGAGAGACATGGTCGGTTTGTGAAGGGGTGCTTTGGATGGTGATTCAACTGTTGGGTACTCACTAACGAGGTGGTGTTATATCTGTTCTATTATCATGCAGGCTCTAAATTTTCTCCATTACACAGTGGGATGTCTTCACAAGCATCAGGCCTCCTGAAGTTTCCACCGGTGCAAATCCTACTACTCCAATGGCTTTATGTTGTATAAAAGTATATTTCATGAAAAGACATTTATAGTATAATGGCTTTCTTGGTATGAGTTTGTATAATACAAATAGCTCCGAACATTCCTTGTCGGGGTACATAGGACTATGGTGTAATTATTATGAAAAGGGAATGGATTTTGTTGTATCATGCAACTACCTAATGATAGATGCCTATTTCAACAGGCCTCTTCAGCTGCTTTAGTTGCAATTATTCATAATGTATGGTGGGTCTGAAGGGATGTTGAAGGGGGTCGCAATGTAGAAAGAAAAGTGAGCTACGGAAGGCGCAGAGCAATCCGTTACACAGCCACCACAAATTCTTATCCGCGTCCATGTCGTTCCGCCGTTCCACCTTCTTGACATTATGAAGCCACGTACAACTCAATAATTCGCCGATTTGTCTAGATTCTGCAAAGGTGTAGGAATAGGTGAGTTTCTTCTACTACCACTGCAAAACTTCGAGCTTCAGCTGACAGCAAGGAGATTCTTCCTAGCATGAAGATTGCCCTATATACAAAGATTTACGCTTCGAAGAACGTGTAAGAAGGCCTTATCTTCTAAAGCGAGGGACATTTGCGTAGTACCTCTCAGAATTTACTGGACTCTGAGATGGTAATTGCCTATGTAAATGGTAAGCGTTGCCACTGCATATATTCGACACCCTTCATTGGTACTGCCTCTGAGCTCACTACGATGTCCAGATGCAGCTCTGGTACAGTTGCATGTTACCATGAAGAACTTTGCAACTGTAAAGATCAATTGTGCTGTCCAAGCTCCCGACTGAGATTGTCATTTATTTCGAAGGGTTCCTTAGGTGAGTTTTCCGGTTATTTCCTGCTCTTTTATACGCCTGACAAGTTAAATCATTTTGTCGCTGTTTGTCCCTATCTGGTGCTCCTAGGACCAATTCTCGCATTGCATTACTGTCTAACTTCCTGATTTCATGAAGTTTGGCGCAAGACTCGACGTGTTCGTGTTCTCTGTACCAAGCACGACCGTAGGTATGATACCAGCCACGGATCGACACGCACAAGGATACCACGCCTTTGAGCAGGAACCATCACCACGGCTTCTTGTTTCACTATACGGCACTCCTCATGCCCGTCTCGTGTCGTCCCTGTCTATTCTCAACACCTCCCTCTGTGGTCTCGGTGTTTGAGCCTCATGAGAGGAACCGGTCCTCTTTAAAAATAGATACTCTGCTCACCCACAGCGACACGGGTGCTACATATCCTACCGAGTCGCACGTCGATGCCAATGGCCAGCCGGAACATCGTTCCTGACCCGGCGTCGGTACGGTCGTTGCTGTGGTGGTATCTTCCCTCCATATGATGTTCAAACCACGTTCCAGACTCTCATTACAGCATATCTTACATGCACTCCTTCCCTTACACCTGTTTCTGCCCTTCATAAAATCAAGGCCTGACGCAGTCAATTGTTTGGGCTTCATCGGTATGCTTTTGGCATCGAATTAGAACTGCGTCTACCTTTTGTGTCCTTCTGTCGGCGTGGAGTACTAGCACTGCAATGCACCGTATAGCCCTTGCTGTTGGAGAAACTATAGAGGACGGACATGATCCGGAACTAGTCCCGTTAGTGGTCAGTTTTTTTTTTGCCGGTGCTTAGCCGTGAGGCCGCCAGTGTGCGGACAGCCTCTCAGAACAATAACATTATCTTGTATGTAGGGCGCTCGCGGCAAATGATATTGTTTGATGCTACCGGGGCGGCCCTGATGAGACGAGAAGATGCCGTCGCGAAGCACGCACACATCAGCCGAATTGACTTTTGCAAAGCGCAATGATTCGTCACCCGACCAGTGGCAACCGTCTCCGAAGCGACAGCCCTCAAAGCGTTAAGGTATCTTATTGTCTACGCCAGGAAAAGTGCCGTTGCGCTTTGGGACGAGACAATAAGACCGGCCGCGCAAGGGCCACGTATAAAAGGCTGCCATGAATCCTTCTCTGTCTTCACCTATTTACTACCTAGATCACACAGCTGCACTGGTCTGCGCTCATAATCTTCTACGAACATCCTCATAATATTTATGGATAACTTCATCGAGTTCATCCTTGGCACGGTCGGGCTCAGTGTCCCGGATAACACTTCGCAGAATGAAGCGACTGAATTGTGTTCCACGGACGGGGGATGCGTTGTGTCATGAAAGGGGACGCTCTGTGTATAAATTCGTGAGCCCTTCGTTCTTTTTCTGAATGACGTTGCTCACAGATGACCGTCAGTAGTTGGGACCGGAGTTTCCAGACGTTTAATGGCTCTGATTGGTAGCAGGACTCCAAAGGAAACGTGGCTCATGGACGGTGTCTGAACATACAATCGCTTATTGTTTCTTTTTTTTTCATTGATGGACATTAAGACTGCCGCATCATACCACCGCCGATGTAATGACATTCATGGACAGGATATACTTATTTTGATTGAAAGTTCACATGCCAGAAGCACCCGAATGTCTGAGAAGTGGGCGTGCCTTCAACGGAGAAAGCATGGGGAAAAAGTTAGTCAATAATAACAATAGACAATGGGAACGTTCTCGTCGGCAGGCTGCGAGGATAACTTACACCCGGGTCCTTGAAGCTGCTTCGGGGAGTTTTGGCGCTAAGGAGGAATTAATCGGTGAATTGAACGATGACTGGGAAATTATTTATTGTACATATTCGTTGAAATAGATTTCTGATCTGCAGCAGGACGGACCGTAGTTTCTTCATTGGACTGCGTGGTGGGTTTCTTGAATGTTATCTGCCCATTGCATATCGTGTTGTCATTGAACCCCGCACTAATGACGCTGCGCTGCCGCGTAGCAGGGACACCTGTATGTATTTGAGGCGCGTGAGAACCTGGCGGTGATATCTGAATTGGGACGGATCGCGCGTTCAATCAGCTTTGGACTTAACTTCAACAAAGTAGCTGATTCTTTTGAACTTAGAGCTTAGACGTACAAGATCTCGAGAGGGCTCAAGAATTCCTTACAAGGGTATCCTATTAAAAAAGCGGCTGGTCAGGCAACGCCTCAATGCTTCTTAAGATAAAGTGCCCTATCACTGTCTTCCTTCAAGAAATGTACATCATCGACGAAATATTTACACAAAGCATTATATACAAAAGACAGAGCAAACTTAATATAATGTCTACATATTATCCAATCCAGAATGAAATGAAGCACTAGTACTAGAGCGTAGCAAGCAAGGATTGAAGCCACGCATTGCCCTCTATTTTTGGTTGAAAGGCATCGAAGCATCGCTTCAGCTCTTCCAATTGGCTTTCCGCAGAGATGCCATCAATATCTTCCATAACAACGTCTTCGTCATCACCTTGCTTCTGCGACGCAGCCCAAGTGGAGAGTAGCTCCTCAACGATGGCAATACCCTCATTTGTCACTTCAACGGGTATGTCATCGTCGGTCGAATCGTTGGCTGGAAAAATAGTTTCAGGGTCCTATCCTCAAACGAAATCAAAAAAAAATGATGCTGACCACCGCCAAAATCTTCCAGTTCCTCTGCCTTCCGACGTGCGAGCTTTGTAAACAAATCTTTTGAGCTTAGTACTTTTGAGAGACACAAGATGCACACCCTGACAACATTTTCTGGGAAATTCGCCAATTCGGCGACGTGGATACCAAAACTTTGGTCAGAAATACCTACACGAAACATTTTCGAGTAAGCGGATATTCCCGCTTGAACAAAGGCGCTTACCTGGCTCGACCTTGTAAAGCAGCGTAATATCACGTCGCTGATTCTCGTCGGGAGTATCAGCAACATGGGCCACCACATGTAAGTTCTTTACATGAGAAATTTGCTGGTCTAGCGCAGTAAGCTCATGAAAATGTGTTGCAAAAAGGCAAAATGCGTGTATCTTGGAAGCAATGTGTCTAAGGACTGACATCAGCAGGAACAACCTAGCAAATAAGTAGGCTTACTCTGAGATTGCCCAAGCTAAGCCAAATCCATCATACGTCGAGGTACCTACCACAGGTGAATGTTATTCTCAAAGATATCAGAAGCCGTCCTACCTCGTCCAAGTTCATCGATGATTATGAGAGAATTAGGAGTAGCCGACTGAAATTAGATGAGCCACCATACATAACAAATATCAAAACACCACTGACACGAAGGATGGTTGCCGTTTCCAACATTTCCGCCATGAAAGTGGAGACGCCCTTCAGCTGACTATCCCCTGCGCCCACGCGACATAAAACCGAGTCAAAGATAGGAAGTTTAGCCTCGGAACAAGGCACAAAGCATCCAGTCTGGGCCATGAGAGCAATCACACCCGTCTAAGGATACTTCATTAGATCTTAATTCAAAAAAGGGAATGGCATGAAAGCGAACTTGTCGAATGTAAGTTGATTTCCCACCCATATTGGGACCGGCTACACAACCTTGAGCAAGATGATCGATGTAACAAAGGCTGGACGCTTACTGATGATCTGGAACTCGCTTTCGCCTGAAAGTATTGTGAGACGATATTTACCAGCGGGAGAGAAATAGCATACCTTTGATCATCTCAATATCATTGGCAATGAAATGAACGTCATCTTGGACTTCAAGGCAGGGATGTCTAGCATCCTTGAGGACTAGGCTTCCGACACCTATTGCATTGAATAAGCTTGGGGTGAGTGGACACAAAAAATAGCAGGCATACCCATTTCAAAGACCATCGGCTTGACGTATGGTTCAGGAGCATTAACAGACACGTGGGCGAAGCTTTGGTATAAATGAGCCATTTGTCCAAGCTCAATATGACGGACGCACCTGAGAATTACGTCGAGATGCGCGATGATATTATCCAGTGACTCTAGAATCGGGGTGTACGTGGCTACATCCAGGGGCATGAGAGCATGAGGAGAAAAGCAGACGTCTGTACTTACATGCTATGTTAACAACCTCTTTGACCAAGCCACTCTGGGTCCGGCTGTATTTGTCTGATATGTCCTTGAAATCTTCGGCAAGGTTTTTTAACGTCTTTGTGGTGAAGTAGACGCCGCTTTTAGTGGTTCCCAGCTCGATATACTTCTTCGTTGAAAGGCCCTTGGCATCCTATTATTCCACCTCAGCTCAAGCTGAAATGACTGAATGGCGACAACAAACATTTTTCGTTAGACGAAAGCAATATCCATACACTTGGCTGTTCTCTAGGTGAAGTTTCTTGTCGAGCTCCATCTTGAGATCGTGACCGACGGATTGGTGTTCTTCATCAAGACCGTCACGAATCTGTAGAAAGGATCGTTCAAAGCACGTCCGCATGATTGCAGAAACAAAGGCAAACCATGGCAAGCTCCTCTGCATACTCTTTTAACCTCGGATCGAACTCTGGCTTGATGACATAGCTATGATGATCGAGCTGATCCAAGTCGAGCGTTTGCTCCACCATTTCACTATACTTTGAAAGGTTGGACCCGTGTTCCTGAAAAGAAAGTTACCACTAGTCGTGGATTAGACACCAAGGGCCTTACACGCAAAGCGGTGAGGTAACCTTCGTCTATCAAGGACGTGTACTCCTCTTTGGTCTGAACATCGCTGAGTGTCTCGATCATGCCAGGAAGCTGCGGTCCTTCCAATCAATTCCACATCAATCTGCGTGCCAAAAACGTTACCTTCAAGACAACTTGATACACGCGAACGACATCTTCGAGGGATGCCAGGGACTTCTGGAATCGCTTCGACAGCCGATGCAAATCGGGCATCACTTTCATGTAGTCATCCTGCATCATAACTCAGAACGATTCGACTTCATTCAAGCTAAAGCTTCTGACCTGAAGACTACGGCGAGAATTTGAGTCGTCGACAAATATTTCCACCAAGTTTTGCCGTTTCCCTGTTTACCACAATTCATCTCATGAGACAGACGGAAAGTTCAACGAACATACGAATCTCATGGAGATTGATTAATGGCTGCTTGAGCCACGTAGCGAGAAGACGCGTGCCTTGAGCCGTTTTGCATTTGTTGAGGAGACCGAGAAGGGTCGTATTACGTGTCGTTGTGCCCTACATCCGAAGTTAATGCGAGTGTCAGCAGCATACAAGAGCCGAAACTCACAGCGTTTCCAGGAGCTTCTGTCAAGTTCAGCGCGCGCAGCGCACTAGCATCAAGCTTCATATACTGGGACAAATCGTGGGTCCGGATGGTATAAGCTTCATGGTTGGTCGAATCTGCGAGGAGTGAGAGATATGCTATCAAAGCAGATAGCGCAGCCGGTGCAACCGGAAGGGAAAGTTGGGCTAACTTGATGTCAGCTAACATAACTGGGCCATAACTGTAGACATACGGATGGAAACTGATGCATCAGCAGATCCGGTTGCTGGTGCTGGAGTCTTTGACAAGAGACGTGCTAGATCATCGGCTATGTTTTTGGCCATGAACTCGCCTGCATAGCATAATTAGCACACGTCAGACAAAAAGAAACTCAGGAATCCTACTAGGCTTTCGCTCGGTGATCACTACACCGCAACGGTCAAGGACAGCTTTTAGTTTGTTAAGGTCAAGGTCTCGATCAGTATTTCCAGAGGCAGTTCCTGTCGGAAGGATAGCCTCCTTGACAGAGAGCTGAATGATAAGTGACTACAGACCAGTGAGTGCCAAGACATCAATCATCATGACAAAGGAAACGCACTTCGGTATTTGAGAATAGATCATTATCCACAAAGTCCGCTACGCCCAGCTCGCGTATGCTCGTGTCTGCAAACGCGATGCCGACGGACTTGACTTTGTCTTTGCCTCCTCCAGTGGCCGAGGTAGTATTAACCTTGATGGCCATGACAATGGGCGCTGAGAGTAAGTCAGACGAAACGAAAAGCAGATCTTCCACCGCCTGGAGATTCCCCGGGGATGCCTACGATGGTTGTCAGGACGTTTCTTCTAGCAACAAACAATCCAGCCTGAGCACCTCCTTGTCCAACCTGTACTTGGAGCACTTCTTTCCTGGAGTTTCCGGGACCCATATCTCTACGCGGAGTTGCTTGGTCGTGAGGGCTTCCCTGAGCAGCATTTGGGCTATGCTGACTTTAAGAGAGACATAGGGAAGCCCGACTAGTCGTCCTCCAGCTCCGAGGTATTTGATCACCGAGTTGGTATGAAAGACATGAGTGGCTGCATATAGCGCGTCTGGTCCATAAGCAGAGTAGAATTCATCAGGCGCCGTTCGGTGGAACAGTCGCAGAGTCCCAGTCTCTGGAGATTTTGAAGGCAGCTTTCCGAAAAACGTAACGAAACCAGGGTCGTTATCTGACAAAATTCAGCAAGACTACAAAAAAAAAGAAAGCGGAAAAGGCACCATTTGCGTCGTCATCCTTGTCCCTTCCATACATGGTGGACGTGGTGAAAGGAAAGACAGAAGAAGCGCGTCGAGGTTGTAACGTATAGAAAGTTACATCACGTGATATACGTCACGTCCCCATTTGACGGTTTCGCACGACCTGATCTCTCTCACCTTGATGGCATTACCCACCAAAGGACGTGTAATCATTGACACCACTGTCGGTGAAATCGACATCGAACTATGGTCCAAGGTATTTACTTGAGAATACTGACTCATTGCCTTGAACTGAATCATTTGTGCAAGGAAACTCCCAAGACATGCCGCAACTTTTTGACGCTGGCTATGGAGGGTCTGTGAGTTCTCTGTAGTCCGCGGACCCGTGGCGTAATATCGCTCTCTGCACAGGATACTATGATGGCGTAATATTTCATCGGTGCGGCAGTCTTGTCATCTTTACCTGTGGTACGTTTTGACATGTCCTGTTTCCAGCGTAGTACCCGGGTTCTTGGTACAAACTGGTGATAAAACGGGTACCGGTGCTGGTGGAGAATCAATCTACGGCGGTACGCCCCATGGAAACTGCTCCGCTGGCCAAACTCACCTCTTCATCCCTGCAGACGTTTTCGAGGATGAGATTCATCCACGGCTACGCTTCGCTCATCGTGGGCTCGTGGCCATGGCCAACAATGGGAAGAAGAACTCGAATGATTCGCAGTTTATAATCACTCTTGGTGAGCACGGTATATCCTGGATGTTCTAACACTGACCTGACCGTGGAATAGACAGAGCTGACGAGCTACATGGAAAGCATACGTTATTCGGAAGACTTGTTGGGGACACAGTGTATAGTGAGTACCTCATCGTAGTGGCACGCATTCGCTCTAACCTGCGGGCTGGCAGATGTCATGAAAATAGGCGACATGGGTATGTCTTCCGTCCATACATGCTCCTGGGTGTTCACCACCACCATCTCTAGAACTCGATAGCGATGGGCGACCGTTATAGTGAGCGGCATAGCCTATCTAGCATCCTCCTTAGCCTCACCATCACCAGTCCACCTAAAATCAAAGGCATCCGCATAGTCGACAATCCTTTTGAGGATATTGTCCCTCGAATTACAGCCGAAGAGAGACGCGCCCAGGCTCGCGCAAGAGAGCAGGCACAGCGTGAGAGGGAAGAAATGGAGCGACGTAAGGGGGCAAAGAAGTCGGACTTTCTGTTCTCGTTCCTTCTCTCTTCTAAACTGTATTGGCAGGAACGTCAAACTATTGAGTTTTGACGACGACAATGCTGAAGAGGAAGTCGTTTCATTCAAAAAGAAGGGGATTGCCCGAACAGACTGTATGCCCCCTACCCGTTTATTATATTTTCTATCTAACGGGAGAGCGTAGTGGCGGAGGATCCCCGGCCCTCAGTGTCAATTCCCGACTTTGTGAGAAATCCTCCAAAGACAAGTGTGAAGACGCCCCAGGAGACGCCCGAGATGAAAGTACGTACCACACACCGCCTAAGTCATAACTATCTCACAATGTTCCAGGCCAACAAGAAGAAAGCTGCCTCGGATTTAACCAAAATCCGGGAACAACACGCTCAAGGGCTGGCTGCCGGAGAGAATGCCCGCAAAGACGAAATTGAGAAGATGGAAGCCGAAATCCGGAAACTCACGAAGCGGCGTGACGGCTATGACAGCGACGATGAGCGTGCGGCGAAACGTACCAAGAAGTCGTTTCTCGAAGAAGAGCTATCCAAGTACTCCAAGGGTCGTGGTCTGCGCAAGAGGGGGAAACGGCGAGATGAAGGAGGCATCCTTGCCGCCTTGGATTCATTCCGTGGCAAGCTGCAGGGTACGATGCTAGAAGAGGAACCGGAACCTCTGGATGAAGCTGTGGAGCCGAATGTGGAGAGCGTGCCGGGGCCAGACGACCCTGGCATGGAGGTCGATGATGATCGTGGATTTTTGGGACATGCACTGCGTTTCCCGAAAGACGATGGTGAGGAGAGTCGGAAGGCAGAGCGGGATTACGAGGTCATTGACCCACGCCAACGGAATGCTCGGGCTAAAGAAGAGGAACGGGAGAGGAGGAGGGCTATGAAGGCAAAAGGAGGGCGCGGAGGAAGAAGACGATAAGGTAAGTGCTTTTACATTTTTTGTCTCCACTTACTCATGTGTTAAGTAGGTTGCTCCCCTTTGTTTCAGAACATACAATGTTATCATTTGCTGTGATTGTCCAAGAGTCCCATTTTAGCCACGATTCCTGAAAAATGTCGAAGAATATTTTTTATAATTCTGACCCCAGCCTCTAACTTTTGACCCACGCTGCTTTTGTAAAACGGTCACATATCTCTGGCGCTACAACAGCAGACTCTCGGATCATCGGTGAGCACAACGTTTCGCACACTACGGCTGAATCTGCCAGTTCTTTCATCTTTACGATCAGTGCAGCCATTTTCCTCTCAAACTGTTCTCAAATTCTAACCCAAGGTACGGCCAGTAGAAGTTGGACCGATCCGGCTAGGAAACTGTCGCAAGCGAGATCAAGCCGACAATATTCTCGATGGGTGGGTGGATTGGTTCAGGCTTGTATCAAGGCAGGTGGAGTCTCAAATTCTGTCGATAGGAACTAGTACGGTACGCGCCGGGCTCAGAAGTCATTAGTATGCTCATTACATACTTCCCACCAGTAGGGCAGCAATGAACCGCACTCCACTGGGTTGTCTCCAACGTTTTCCCCCCACTCTCCTGTTGTTATCGCCACTAGCTGTGAAGGCTAGACGCGATGCCTTTCCGGACGGAGAAATTCTCCCGCTGCCAGTCGCTTCGGCAGCGAAGTCTGGGGAAGTTTTGGCAGGACCCCCCCCCCCCCCCAGTGGGTCCATGATGTGATTGGACCTCATCAGGGATATATCCGCTATAACTCCTCCCCCCCCTTGTCGTGCAATTGAGCTCTGACAAAGGTCGCAGATTGGGGAATTTTCTTGGTCAGAGTGCGTAGTCTCGTTTCAAGCACTCGCCTTGCTGAATGTTAGTGTAGGCCTCTTGTCGTGAGTGTGAGCGTCGTTGGCCCGTCCATGGAAATGTCTAAAAAGGTTTTACATGCTGCTTTATGGATCATTTGGTTTTGAGTATGTCATTGAGATTTTTTCTCCCCAGGGGTAACGAACACATCAACTAATCAAGCTCAAAGGCCAAGTGCAGATGCACTACTATCGGCATGTCATTATTTTCCATTGATCGTATAACCACTCTTTTTCACCGTTCATTTCTTCGGCTGCAGATTTCCACTATCCCGCCGGGTAGCCAATGTCCGCTGTAACACAGTTCCACGAAATGAGACATGTCTTCCCCGGTTCCATTGAATCGACGTCCTCTGCCTCTTCTCAGGGCCGAAAGTTATGTGATGGGTTCGCCACCTTGTTTTATATGGCTAGATGAGTGACTCGTCGATTCGATTACAGCAGAGAGGGGGGGGGGGGCAAGAGTCATTGAGGAATCCAGACGTTGATGGGCCGCATGGCAACGGCGCCACAATGCAATGATGTTTGTCCGAAAAGGGGCTTTGAAGATCACTCCAGTGAGCAGTGTTAGAAAAAACAAAAGAGAGACAGAGAGAAATGACGGGCCTCTTTGCGGTCTTGGATGCTGTGTTCGCGCGAGGATCCGGTATCGGGGCCGAAATGGGACGGCCGTGACCTGGTCCTGGTGATCAACGGAACGCGAGAACGGGCTTTATTTTCTCACGGTGCTGATTACAAATAGCCACGACCTGACCAGAACACCCCTCCCCCTTTCCTTCTAATCCTCAACTCAATGGCCACCAAAGCCGCCAGCAAACGCGTATGTCGTTCTGTTTTCTCCCCCAAGGCCATCGCTTACCCGCGCCCGCAGCTATCCAAGGAATGTGTAACCATGCAAAGGGAACCACCACCATTCGTTTGGGCTGTACCCGATGAAAAGAACATCTTGACCTGTGAGCGCTTCGTCTTCTTACCACTCAGCTTCCCCCTTAGCCGACTAATGTTTCTCGATAGGGAACTACATTATCGTTGGTGGGACTGCTGTACTGTCTGTTCCACTTCTCACGGGAATTGGTTTAGCGTGGCCCACCTGATTCACCCTTCGCCGGCGGAGAGTACCATGGTCTCTTGCTTTTTCCTTCAGAGTATCCATTTAAGCCTCCAGGTATCAAAGTGCGTCTATCATTCTTATCGGTCCATATCTCGAGTCCTGACGTGCTGGCGTAGATGCTTACACCATCTGGACGATTTCACCCCGACAAGAAGATATGCTTCTCCATGTCGGATTTTCATCCCGGATCTGTACGTCTCATCGCTTTCCTTTTTTTTTTTTTTTGTATCTCCGCATCGCTCATATCGCAAGTAGTGGAATCCCGCGTGGAGCGTAGCGACAATGTGCGTTTTTCGCCTTTTCTTCGGCCATCATTTATATTGGGTTCCGTAATCAATCTTTCCTTTCCTTTTCATTTTCCCGAGCCGGGTGACAACACCTCCTTTTTCCTGACTGTTGCTATGTTTGTTTGTACCCTACCTTCTCGCTTACGCTTTTCCCGTTAGCTTAACCGGCCTACTATCGTTCATGCTATCGGATGAGATGACAACCGGTTCGGTGACGTCTTCGGATACTCACAAGCGTAGCTATGCGCTGCGAAGTCATGGTTGGAACCTCGCACAGGCGCGGTTCAAGGAGGCTTTCCCCGAAGTGAGTAATTAAATTCAGTGACCGGGGGGGGGAGGATTTTCACGCCTTGCCATCATGATTACGCTTAACTGATCGTGCTTTCGCCATCACAGTATTGTACCCCGCAGCCCAGGGACTTGCCAAATATGGGTGAGCGGGAACGAGGGATCGTCAAGCCACCACCACCACCACCTGTGGCTCTCTTTCCTTTGGCGCCTCAGCCCACTGCACCAGCGGCCCAGCCTGTTGTAGCCAAGCCTGCTCCCCTGCCCACTCTGGCGGTTACACCAACAGTGCCGACGGTATCGCCTACTAGCGCGCCTCGCGGGTCAATAGGTAAAACTGACGAGACTGCTAATGTTGCTGTGGGGTGGGCTAGTGGATGGGGCCAGTTGTTCTGGCAGAAATGGCGATGGGGTATTCTTATTGCCCTCGCCGTGATTGTTTCCAAGATATCCTCCAAAGATTGATATATAGGCCATACACACACACACTCATTCTTCTTGTTTTCACTGTATTTTGCTGTCATTATTTCCCCCCACCTAAGATTTCTCTAAACTCCTGGATACTTTGTATAATGGGTATTAATATATTTACGCTTTCTCAAACCCAGAGTTTCGCGATGGGATGATCGTCGATACTGTGCACGAGTGGCTGGACGTGCGTCCAGATATCAGCAGCGACCTGCTCTCTTTCCCTTCCTGCGTCGATGGTTGCCCACCGAACGACATGTTCCGATTCGATCCTCGTGTACTGCTCTCGCACCCTCTGCTGCATTTCCTGCTGTTCATACCGCTCCTCACCGTACCCCCCTCGCTCCCCCGCCTTCTCGGGGGTGATATCAAGAAACACGACGAGATCCGGTGCGGGCAACCCGACGTCCGGGGCTCTGCACCACTCGTACGGCAGGCCTTTGGACGCGCTGAACGCGATGCCGGAGAACGCGTATCGATCGCATAGGACGGTCGTCCCGGACTCGAGAAAACCTTCGATAGCGGACCTAGGTGTCAATCATTCATTCGCATGCCCCCCACCCCAACCCCCCCCAGCCGTCGGGAAAAAAAAAAGAGATCCTCACGCAAGTTCCCATCTGTTAGCGGAGAATAGGAGGTGAATCGCATGGTCGTCGAGCTCCGACTTGGACTGGAGGTACGAGTCTATCATCTTGCCGATTGAGGTGGTCCTGTCTTTGGGGGGGGGGGGAAAGAGAAACCAGCCATCACATCACGACGAGAGAAAAAAAAAACAAAAACGCGTGAATGCGAAGCTTACCAGGAAACTTGTGTAGTTTTACTGCGTGCCCGGAGGCCTCCAATCTTGCTCTGAGACCCGCTGTCTGGGTGGATTTCCCGGATCTGTCGAGGCCCTCGATCACGATGAACGCTCCGCGGGCCATTGGTGGTGGATGGTGTACGGGAGCAAGAAGCGGATCGGAGGGAGACCTTCCTTTTTTTGGCGTGTGAGGGTGTGAGTTTTCGATTTTCTGTCCATATTTGGAAATCTGCTCCAGGACATCGTAGGGGGGGTCGGTCGACTGCGATACGGGCAATGTGATGTGCAATTTCTGCCCATGGTTAAGCTTGCTCCAAACTTGTCGTTTATATCCAAGTTTTGATAACGATAATTTTTCGATGGAGAGACACTTCAAGGCTTGAAGTGAACGTGCACCCCTCTGATGGCTTACATAACCCTGCACCGTTGTAAACTATTATCTTTATCTTTATCCTAGCAGGTGATGCTCTCCCCGACCAGTCATGGTTAGGGACTCTGCCCCGCTTCGAGGCGCTTTCCTCAGGGGCTGCCCCATACGGACACCGCGGCGAGCCTCACTCTAGATAAACGACTTAAAAGCCCGAAGAAGATAAATAGATGATGGTCCTTGTGAAATCCTACACTTCCCATCGCCTGGAATTTTTTATTATTAACCAGCTGGAACGCCGGTGTTGGGGGGAAATTCCATTCATCCTCTACTAATCGCCCTTGGTGTAGTGTATTCTAGGCCCAGGACAGCTACCAGTGGCACGAAGAATGATGCCCTGGTTCCTTGGACCCGGTAACAACTTAATAATAATAATAATAATATTGTCGGTCGGTCACTCCCACGCTTTGCGTCAGCGCTGACGGGTGAACGCGAAGCTCCTCCAACGCGCCACCTTCTCTTCTTCTTCCAAGGCCTTCTGCCAGGTAGGTGCCTTCTTTCTATCCCGTCAGCCAGTCTCTCCGTGCCCGCTAAATGAGGCGATCACCCCAAACGCCTCAGTGACGTGTAAACGAAGGGGGGGATCCTGGATGACCTATTAACTTGCAGGCTGAGAAGCATTCGTATTCGTGCCCAGTCGACATTTGCGATTTACGAGCCTATTTGAAGTAACCCCGGACATGATTCACCGCCGCAATTCTATTTCGGTAAATTATCCTGCCCGTCCCCGGAGTGGGTTTTCACCGTTCTATCCAACAAGCTAGCTCAGTTGGTCTGAGAGGGAATTGGGAATCGGTCAGCTGACACGCTGTCAGTAGAAATAAAGGTGGCGAGTTTAGTCGTATTCCGAGGGTTTACGTTACGCATCTTTTCTCCTGGATGAATTCGAATTCGAATTAGAGTCGAGTCGAATCAGCACGTTCAAGAAAATAAAATACCCGATGGCCTCAAAAAGAAAAAGTTACCCATTCTTCTCCTGCCCTGAATTTTCTGCAGTGGGCCGTGGGCATCGGGAATTTTCAGCATGGTGTGCCAATTAATGTATAAATAAATGTTCCATCCCATCCATTCATCAGCAAACAAGCTTATTGATTGCCTCCCAGCCAGGTCAGGCGCCTGGAAACCCCCCATCCGACTCCGTCCTCTTCGTGAGACGGTATAAGCAGGGTGAACCCGTCGAGTCGAAGCGCAGCGCAGCGTAGGCAGCCTTCCCTTCCCTTCCCTTCCCACCGCATGCAATGCATCAATATCAATGACGGTGCATATGACGACGAATATGAATGGGTCTTCCGTATGAACGTTACTTAACACACCGCCCCTATCGGTTTTCTCAACCCCCAAAGTGGCGCCCAAAAGTCAAGCCACGATCGTGTTCAAAAGTCAGTCAGGTTCAGATTCAGGTCCCGAAAAGATCGCTAAGCTACAAAAGGATTAGTTAGTATGGTGTTGTCAATCAACCATGGAAAATCAAAATTATCATCATCACTGACGAGGTATACGACGGTTTTGGCAATGACCGCCCACTCCACTCCGTGTCAGTGTCAAGTGTCCACCGCTGCAACTGGTAGCGGCGAACCCGCAACACCCAACGGTAAAAAGATACAAAAAAAAACGTATATGCATAGTCTATGAGACGTACAGGACCGTGAAAAGCACTGCGACATGACAATAATTAATTTAGTAAAGTAAAAAGAGTCACGTTTCTAACAACAGTGTCTTTTCGCAAACTCACGCAACCACCTAAGCAAGAGGAACCGGCACTGGGCTCGTCCGCGGACTTGGAGACCTGCGCCACGACGAAGACAGCGATACGAGATTACTTGGATTCCTATTATCCCTCGTCGCCCGAACGACCTTGATAGGTGCGAACGAGTTCGTCGTCGCAGGTGGAGAGCGAACAGATGAACGTGACTGTACAGGGGAGGAAGAACGAATCTTGACAGGCGATAACGTCGATATGGGTGCGCTCGAGGAGGGCGACGACGCAACTTTGTGCGGTGTGGGTATCGGGGCAGCAATGGGTATAGGCGGTGAAGGCGGAAGCTTCTCCTGTTTCAATGAACCCGCGGATATCGATCGCGAGCGGCGCGATCGAAAAGAACATGAGACTAATTCCGGACGGATAGTCTCTTCAACCGTACTCTTCTGAGCCTCTTCCTCTTCGTCCAAATCGATTTCCTGCCCATTGATGTACATGACATTCCGCCGCCGAATAGGCGTGGCGGAGCCAAGTAGATTGTTATTCGCCGCGGCACTTTTCGAGCTTGAAGCCTGAGGAGGAGGATCTAGGAATAGTGGAGACGGTGGAAGGAGGCCAGGTGAAGCTACGGCTTGGAGCGTGCCAGCTTTCCGGCCGGCACATTTCGATGGTGGGACATGGAAAAATGGTGCATGGCCGCTGTTGATCGTAGATGGTGGAGGTGGAGGAGGAGGAGGACATGAACATGGTGATGCAGGCGGAGTTTCTAGAAGAGGCAGGAAAGCAAATTTCTTCACTTTGGGGGGAGGACTCGATGGGGGAAAATACGAGGTCCGTTCCTCGGATGGTTGCCGCGGAGGTGAAGGGTCAGTTGTTGTTGGTGGTGGTGGTGGTGGTGAGCTCGTCGGAAGTAAAGGCAATAGGCCTATTGGAACCTTTGAAAGGAATTGCGACGCGGGTTTGCCAGTGTACATATCAGGCAACTGATTTGCTCTTGGCAGTGTCCGCTGAATCGCCTTGAGCTCAAGTATGTCCCTTGGTAGAGTGTCAGTACAGGGCGCCGGGAACGGGTGGCATGGCGGTGAACGGTAATTGCTGGCTGTCCACGACATGTCGTACGACCACTCACTGGTATGACAAACTGCGTGCAGGCTCCGAAGGCGTCCTATCCCATTCATCAGCTACATGCACCTCTTCACTCCCAGCATCGCAAAAGGCAACACATTTCCGTGACTGACCCGCATCCAGGCTCGGGCTCGCGATGGGCGATTTGAGACATCCTCGTCTGCGGCGACTCGACATTGTAGTACTGATGGTGGGTGGTGGTGGTGAAAAAAACAACGGCAGCGACGGCGATTCTTCAGGCGTTGCTGAGAACGAGACAGCGGGTCTGGACACGACCGTGGAGGCTCAGGAGCAAAATAGAGTGAACTGGGAATTCTGCTATCCTATTGGGCCTCATCCCGATCTCGCCCGTCTCTACCCGTTTTAGGAGCTCCGGCGTCACTCCTGTTCCTCGTGCTAATTCTGGCGGTCCGGTGGTGGTGGTGGTCCTATTCTTCGTTGCGGTTATTCACCGCACAAGTACCTATTCCTGAGCCTACTGTTCCGGATATCTACGATATATTCATACTGGCTAAAATGCCTCGTTGAGATCCGAAATTACTGACCACTCTAGCACCCAGAACTTGCAGCGAAATAAGCGCAGAGTCTTCGTTTTTTTTTGACTCATTCCTGAATAATATCTGTACTTTTGACCTTGATTTACTTCAGTCTCGCCAAAATAGCAACTTTGGGTCACATTAGCCCGCTAGACTTCAGCCCGGTACCAGTGCGTTTGGACCATGCGGCTTCTCAGGTACCGTTACTTACCTGAGTACGACACTTACTGGTAAAAGTTCGAATTAGATGCCTAGATTCGACTTGGGGCACACCCTGTGATTCACCCATGCAGCAAACCTGTTCTTCGTCCCAATTCAAATTGGAGAGATAAGATACCCCCCCCCCGACCCGCCCTTTTCCCAAAACGGGCATATCCGCGCCGTGAGACTGAACTGAAGTCGCGACCCCAAGTCCAAGAGAAAGCCAAGGAACAATGGGAGCAATTTAGAAATATAAATCGCCCGGTGACTCGGCGAAGAGTGATTGGTAAGTAGCCGGCGCCATGGAGCTTGAAACATTTCAAGGCAAGTTTGTGCCACAGAAATAGCCCATCTTGAAACGTCGAAGCACTTGATGTATGGTATGGTAACCCACAACTTCGCGTGCGGCCATCCGTTGAGTATCCACAAACAGAGAGAAACGCCAGTGTAGTGTACCATCAGGACCCGCCGACAGCAGCTGGTTGAATGAACAATCTCTCATTAAGGCAGAACTGGATAGTAACCAACGACGAAGAAGGGGGGGAGGCGTCGAGGATTTGGAAGATAAAAATATATTTGGCGTGATGTTTGCATCTGATCGTAATCAAGGCGAAGAGTGACGCAGAGCCTGCAGTGCAGATGACTTGCGCTGAGGCTTCATGAGAAGAATCGCAGGTCACTCCCCGTCCCCCGTGGGGCTTGAGCTTAACCTACAAGAGCCTAGGCGTCTAGACCTCAGCTGGATCTCCAACGCTCAAATAGACTGCTAATGACCCGAGTTGGATAGACCAAGCTAAAGCTGAAACTTGGCTAGACTACGGGCCTATTGCTTGCGTAGTAGAATGGGGTGCTCGAATTCAATTGCCTAGCTCCTCGCATTGTACTGTGCATGTAGAAAGTATTCAGTCAAGTTGAGGAAGGCCAATTTTGCTTTTGTGTGATCATTTCTTTTTTCTCGTGTGTGTCCGCGTTAAGCAGCTGACTCTACTAACCCATCTTGGCTCAGGCCCGTGGGGATGAATAGACTCAGTCTGGACCCTGACTAGTTCTGTTTCCGTAGGCTTTCCGAATTCGAATCTATGATCAGCTTTATCCGTTGATGCAAGCAAGTCTTCAGTCGGCAATCATCGGATCGCAAGCTCGATGTCATGATGACGCCGCGCTAGCCAGATAGCATCCATTCATTTCGCAGGAAATTAAAAATAATAACGAGCTAAAGGCCTGCTATGAAAGGGATCGAGGCCTGAGTTTCCCTCGTTATCACTGCTCTTGACTCTATAAAAGGGCATCTAGACCTCAAATTCAAGTTATCGCTCACATCTGCAGGACATTCACCATTCCCATGTAGCACCACATCACTTGGAGGATAGTCACCTGGACCATGGGACGCAGTCTATAGGACAGATTTATCCTATCGTCACATCTCTGTGTCCATCGCCTTACCGGATCCAACAAAAAAAAAAAAAAAAACTCGGAATTTAGAATTCCAATCTGCGTGCTTCTAGCGGAGGCACCGGCCCAGACTTGCGTGGGAGGCTTCGTCATAACTTAACTTATGTCCTTTGGAAAAGATTTTCCTCCGGCTTTTCATGGACGTTCCGACATCACGTTCTGTGTTAGATAACCGGCGCATTGCTGTATCCCTGACATCGCAGTCAACCCAGTTCCGTATGAAATACATGTGTTTGTACCTCATGCTGGTTTTATGCGTGTCGAACGGCCATTGGTCATCGTCTTTGCGGGATGGATGGGAGGTGATAGTCTCAGGTGCGTGCGTGCGTGCTCTATCAATTTCCAGCTCAGCTTCATCGATAGAACTCCCTCCCTTCATGATGTGTGGAGAGAGATATGACTCGCCACCCTTCCTTCTTGCAAATGACTGACTTAGGGTCAGCTACTTCCGTGTTAGACCAGAAGAGTGGGCTTGGTTATCGCACGTCTCCCAGCGCAATTTTTTTGATATTCGTCGTAATTCCAACGTTCTGGTGCGGCTCCCGCGGTGGCTCGGACGTGGTGCCCGCGCTCGACTCGCTATGTATCCTAATACCTGGTCACTGGTTGTCAAGAGGCCGTCGTGAGAAAAAAACGTCAACTCAAAAACGTACCGCCGTACGTATGTCCTTATCCTTTAACCTGGTGTTCTATCATGTTGGTGATCAAAAGACAGGGACGCCAAGTCGAGGGATTCGATTGGGTTTCTAGGCATATTGTGGGACTTGCGGCGAGCCGCTGGGCTCAACGATGGGACTTGGGAGGGAGGGGGGTGGGTTTCCCTCTGTATCTCCTTTGGGGCGATGCTGATGCGGGCCATCGTGGTCGTGCGCACTGTAAATAGTAAAACGATGGTAAGCCTTCCCCCTTGAGACTTGTTGCCTGACCCCTGGCAATGAGCGCTCATTTGAGGCACGTCGTCAATAGCGATGGACACGAAACAACGAGTGTGCTGGGCCTCAACTGACGCTCGAAAGGACGTTGTCCGTAAGCGAGCGATCACTTCTAGTGTATTTTCAGAACCACACGTCATTTCATCTCAGGACGACCTCCGAATGAGCATAATTTCCACAGTCCATCACATCAGGCCGCCGATGAATCACTGGGATACGCCTATTACCCATGCTAACAAGTTGAATCCATTAGGGGCCTAGGCGTGCCTTTACCCATAATCTGCTGCTGCGCAGAGAAACCAGGAGGTACAAGGTACTACAGACAGCGAGCCCGTTGTATTCCTCAAAATCTTCGATCTTCCCCCCCCTCCACCCCCTCGACAATCTCTAGTCCGTCTTCCCATCGGATCAATGATAACCGTTGGCCTTGCCTTTCAACCGCAGACACGTGACTTTGGAGCCGACCCGCCTAAAGGATACGGACCGCGCGAGAACCATGGAAGATCGATGTGGGACAGCGAGACACTTGCGGGGAAGGAACGTCAGCGTCGGGATCTGTGGACGAGGGATAGTCGGAGATTCCGGTCGGCAAGGAGTGGGTGGCCCATGGGTCGTCTTGGCGGGGGAGGTGGCTTGACAAGATCGAGCCGGATATACGCAAACGCCACATAGTTCACTATCACATAAGTATGGCAGCTGTGGGGCTTTCCACCTAATCTTCACTACGTGATATTGCGTCCGATCTTGCGAGCCAGCGAAGCAGATTGGCAGTGATAAGTCCAGCATGGAAATAGACGTCCCAAGGTAATTGAAATGAGATCCGATGGAAGGGGAAGGGGAAGGGGAAGGGGAAAGGGCAACATCCGCGTATGGCTGGGAGTCTAGTCATGGGACTCACGGTTCGAGGGCGCAGCTGGTAAGTTATTGCTGCTGCCATCGAGAGTGAACAACGGTGGATCAGCACCATATCCAACACCGAGGACCCGCGAGCATCGCTTGAACGAGTTTTCATCCAAGGCTGCGTCATCGATGATCTCAAGTCATCGGCGGATACAAGGAACCCATGCTATGAATACGGGAAGAAGCACCACCTTGCATTGAGATCTTTCATCTGCTGAGAACATAGGAGACATTCAGTAGTCTGGCTTTCTCACATTATCGAGTTCATGAAAGAGTTCATCATAGGAGCATCTGCCAGTATTAGTACCTGTAGCCATGAGGTCGGGCGTCTGTGACGGCATGTAAAAGATACTTGGAGAGGGGGATCAGACTGGCCAAAAACGTGAGAGTTCGGACCATAAGTCAATGCATATGGAGGCCGGTCTGTAGGCTGCCAATCTTTTGATGGAAGATATTCAACTGAGCAAGAGAGGCAAGCAATAATGATGGATTCCAAGAGCGGTATGACAGCGGGAAGACATTCAATAGATCCCCAGGAAACCTGTAAAAGTTGAACCGGCTGTTGCAACCAAAAAAATATTGTTGAAAATTACCACTGACGCTCGGGGCGTGGGTAAACGAGCGCGAACCCTAACCTCAGTTTGTGATCAGTCTTACCTAAGCAGTCTGGAAAGGTCTTGTCGAAATAAGTTTCCGTTGCTGTCTCCGTCGTTGTCGACGTTGCCAACGAGCATCACGTCTTTTCGAGTCGAGTGATTTGTCCCCAATGCCTATCAAGCACTTTGACGGTGGGTCTTGTTGGGGAAATTGTGCGTCGTGTGAACTGATATTTTTTCTCCTGAAGCATACCTACCCGAGCGAAAACAATTGACAACACTCCAGCTTTCAGCCCTTTCCGATTCGCGTCTAGGCATTGATGCGTCCTACTATCTTCAGCAGCTCACCGACAACCCACCGTCGAGGGAGCCTCTCCTCGCAGCGACGGGTGGCTTACCTTTAGCGCTCACGCAGCGCATCGAGTCGGACCTTCGTATCCTCGAAAAATGGCATATCAAGCCCGTTTTCGTGTTTCCAGGACTTGTTCCCAACAGAAAATGGAAGCCTCAGCAACTTCTAGAGAACACTGAAGCCTGCAAGGACCGACGCGATGCATGGGAAAAATACGAGGCAGGTCTTGAAGACCAGGCGACCAAGTTGTTCGCTGGGCGGAGTAGTTTTCAACAGTGGGATCTGTGGAGAATGGTGCTGAGAATTTTCAGACATCGGAACGTCGAGTTCATCATTGCACCGTATCTAGCATGGCCGCAGGTATGAGTTTATCTATAGCTTCTGTGTTATGGTCCAGCCAATTACTAACCGCGTCAACAATTTCCTCTAGTTAATTTATCTCCAGCGCCATCCAAAATCCTACATTCACGCGATATATGGTCCCACCGACACGCTTCTGTATCCAGGGGTGGACAAGGTTATCACATCCTTGGACTTGCTCTCGCCCACGCCCACGTTCATGTATGTTTCTAAACGTGCAATCATGGTCGATCTCGGTGTAACCGAAGAACAATTTCTCGATATCGGCATTCTCGTTGGTTTTGATCATTCCGCTCCGTTCCCACCTACCATTCACGAGCAGGGACTGAAAGCTACCGTCGACATGATCAAGTATTACAAGACCGGACATGCTGCCGTACTTGCCTTCGTGGAGCATCCTGTTGTCAAACCTATCCAATATCCCGAACATTATGCCCGCACACGCTCCATGATCAAATTTTCCTTGATCCTGTCTTCTGAAGGAACTGTCCAACCGCTTCCCCTCGCTATCACCACCCCTCCCAACCACGGTCATCCCAATCAACCTCACCACCCCACGGCTGCGGATATCCCACAGGATCTTCATGAAATATTCACAAATCGGCTCCCAGACGAAATCTATTTTTACCTCTCCCGTGGACTTCTTGGGCCCCAGGCGCTTGTCTGGCTTACAAGCGGACAAATCATTGAAAGCCCGCCCCTAGATAACGGCGAAACGACGGAATACAAACGATTTGTCAAGGAGGTTATCACCGACGGACAGACCGGTCCCCGTGCTACTGCCTTGGCACTGATCAGCAGTGTAGCCCATTCCTTCTGGTCCAACCGAAAAGTACACGGTTACTTCTGGTTCGAACAGCCTGGACCAAACCACACCCAAAAGCCCGTGTTGCACAATTCTCAACAGACGGCCCAGCTGGCGGACCGCGTCTCCGGTTGGAACGTCCCGTATGCCATCGTGGAAGAAGAGCTGAGACGACAGAATGTAAGGTTTTTCATTTTTTTGGTTCTAGGGAAAGTGCGACCATTCTTGGCTAAAGCGCGTTGTTTCTGTTTTTCTCCCTTCGTGTTCTTTAGTCCTCCACGATTGATTTCGCGTTATGTCTGGGTGCAACGGCTATGGAACGCTTCGCCCTGCGTACCAAGGCCAAGACGAATCCTTCCAGCGGTCCCCTTGAGAAAAAAGATGAAGTTGTCGCCAACGTAATCTGGCGATTCCTGGAGTTGCGAGGGTAAGAATAGTTTTGTTTTTTTATCTGATGTCTTCATTTCTCACTGATTGTCCAAAACATAATGCAGGTTCTTAATGAATTCTCACACACATTCCCCATTGGCTCGTGCCATGTACACCGCCATCAAACAAGCCAAACTGAATGACAAATTTCAGGACCCGCTGTACTTGTTTTTGGAGTTAGTACGGGCGGGTGTAATGCACGGTCATTTATGGTCCAACCGAGCATTCAGCGGCGGACCAAGTTTCGGCACGGGTTCGTTTATTCTTATCAAGGCTATGTGGTTACTTTCCTGACCCGTGTGCGTGCGCCACCAGATGACGAGAAAACGTGTATGTTGCTGGTGATGCGGGTCCTGAGCATTGTTCCCTTGAACTTTAAGGTGAGGCGTCAACGTGACTTATCCGCCGTCGGTTTGATACATGTTTTAACGCGATGGTTTCGTCTAGCCCCAGCCCTGGTCTGCCCCTCTATCACGAGAGCTGCTTGTATTCAATTCGTTTGTGCGGTCTCTCACGCGAGCCCTACGGACCCTCCTTGAGGTGGCATCGCTGAATATGCTTCTCCGTGCGGATGCTCGACGCGCCCGGGACGACCTGTTGGACATAACACTATCTCTGCCGTTCCAGACGGAGGTGAATACCGGATTTGGAGTACTTGCCAAGGTATACCTGGATGCATTGACACATATCAACAATGGCACCAGAGTTCGTGATCCACAAGCTGAGGGCGTCAAAGAGGCAAAGATGTTGGCACTTGAAATCTGCGAGGAAACGTTCCCGGGCGTCAAATGTCCCAAGCTGGAAGTTGAGCGCGGGTTCCGGTTCTGGGATGTGGTGGGTCATTTCTGGACCATGATTAGAGTTGCGATCGCTGATGAATCTATGGGGGGACAGGCGCTGACAGCGATGCGGCAATTGCATTCGGAAGGCGCAGTACTAAGGGAGCTGATTGACCAATTTGAAGCAGCCGAGGCATGGCTGGCGCCGATGCGACCATGAACAATTTCTCACGGAGGGGCTGAGATAGCCATGGAGACCATCGCGAGGTGAAATGGATCCGGGTTCGTCGATGTTATATGATGAGTTACTAACTACATCGCTTTCGAAACATTGTTTTCCTTTTCTCCTGCTAATTTGCAACGATGCAATGGTCAGTGAGCGTGGTGCATCCGGCGTATGAGAAGAAGCCGCGCAACGATAAATGCAGCGAGTCTAATTTGGGATGAGAAAATCGATGCGGAGCCATTTTGATGCTGGGAAAAGGCTAGGAGTCTGGTCGAAAAGGAATCCGAATCATCTGATAAGAGGAGTTTTAAAATCACGTGTATTCCAAATGCGGAACGGTACCATCGGGACATTAGATCTTCTTTTGATCCAGCAAGGAATTGTATGCGTGATCGAATCCGCAAATCTGTTTCTGCCCAAATCTGTCGAGTACAAAATGGCCCATCCGCCAAGTCGCGTGGCGCACGCTGTACCCCCTTCCCCCACTTCAATTTAAACCACGCTCATATCCTTAACGCCATGTTCGATTTTGCCCGCACTATGCTTGCCTCCTCCAACAACGAGCTCGCTGTCCTTGACGATGTCAACAGCAAGGCGCGCCTATATTGCCGCCAACAGTACAGTGTCCAGATCATACAGCTCGTCGAGGGTCCTCCACCGCCTCGGCAGGCCGTCAACGACGAAATCTATGCTTCGTCATCCTCATCTTATGCATCTACCTCCCAGTCAGAGGGCTCCTCTCTCTGTGAAGACGGCGACGAAGAGTCAATAGGATCATCCTACTGTTCATCCGATGACTATCAGGAGCAGGGCGCATCCAGTCGCGAATGGAGCGAGCCCGGACATGAGCGGAGCGGCGGCCCAAATTCTCTCCGGATGAAGCGAATCCTCGCCTGGAGGGCGAACTTTTCGACTCATTATCGCACGATGATGGCCGGTATGCTTTCGATATCTTTATGGCCCACAGGCTTCATATTGAGGGGGGGGAACTTCTTTGCAGATTCAGCTCTTTCTGCACCGCTCAAGCGGAAATCCGACTCTGCCCTGTATACCAATGAGCATACAGTAAGCATTTGCGTAATTCCTTTGATCTCTTACATCAACGCTCATTATTTCCTTTCTTTTTTTTTTTTTTTTAATTAGTTGCCGCATACTTCTAAGCGGTCTCGCTCCTCATCTCGCAGCGAGATGAGTACTAGCGCCATCTCCTGCGCCGCATGCGATTCTTTTTTCGATACTCAGCAGAGTCTCCGGCGGCACGGACAGGCCAAGGGAGCCAGCGAGGCATGCTCGGTCGCCGTCCAATACGCATTTGAATAATTTTCACCATCGCATCCACCTACACAACCTTGCATCATTTTACCAACCTGCAACCTGTACAACCATCCCAATCTTGTGGTTTTTTTCTTCTTGAATTCAGCCTCCGACGGCTGCCGTTCCCGATACTTCGCATATTTTTCGACGCCCGCACCCGCAATTTACCATCTACCCATTTTCCCCGACGTTTTTGTCTCACACCCACCTACCCACCCTTGCCTCGCCGCATCATGCACCCACGATCGTAAATATCCTTATCTTCGATGACCCGTCGCCGCCCATCACACTAATGATTCTCCTTGTATTATAATCGAACCAACCATCACATGTGTATTCTCACCATCAATCGCGCTCCTACTACTTATACCTACTGCTCTTGCTTATAGTAATTTCTAACGGCTGCTGTTTATAATTCTCATATACAAATTACGAGCTTCCCCCGATTAACTTGTCCATGGTATGGTTCTTTTGACGGCGGACGTCCGCCACGTTCAAGGGCATCTTCCTTCCTGCCAGCATAATTGGTGTCATCTGAACGGACGAAGCGCGGGACTACCGGTTCTGGATCCGTCAAAGAAGAGCGGTAGGGGCGCTGACACGAAACAACTGGCACGCGGCGCAAAGAGTACCTTTCAAGTTCCGTTGACAACTCAATTTCATGACATGCAACTGAACCCAAGTAAGGATCCGATGGGAAAATACGATAGACGAGGTAAAAAATGTCGTGAGAATCAAAGGTATGGGAATTTTCTTCCATTTGACGCCACGCTTTTGGCGGAACGGTTTGTTCCTTGGCGTGGGGGGGGGTTTCCTGTTCATTTCCGTGATGAACGACACCCCATCGCTGATTCCATAGATACGCAACCGACCGAGCCCGCCTGGACCTGGTACGGCGGTATCTGTGGGATATGTTATGTTACAGGCATTGATTTTCTGATATTGGTTGTGGAAGACTCCCACAGCGATTACTGTGGGTGAAACCTCCGTATGATATGGGGGGGGGAAATGAAATGTTGATCAGCGCTCATAGCATATATAGTATCGCAACTGAGTACGGGGGCAACACGTCACCAACATTGTAGCTTATGTGCTCCAGAGGATCCAATTATAATTGAAGCAAGGAGTTTGAAGGGCCAACGTAACGCGTGTATGGGAACAACACATTGACAAAAACAGGTTTGTAAAGAAAAGACGTTAGGGCCCTCTTTCATGAGACATGTCATCATGATGTATAGGGTTTTATGAAAGTCCTGTGGGACAACGGTCACTAAAAACAAACCGAAAGG